GACCTATAGTGTGGAAAAAATTAAAAATACAATCTAATCGGACAGAGTCACCATTACCAATGACACTACCCAATGTCAGGGGTAAACTCTTAGAAAAATTGTGTCTAAAATGGTGTCGCCACTCATGGTTGTAACGACAGTAAAATGTGGGCTATTGTGACTTGAGTGTCACAATGGCTACACATCAGTGGGTCAATACCTGATAAAAGAAAACGATGGGGTAAAAAACTATGACCATTGCGTAGCCTTGCCAGGACTATTTCCTCCTTCCGATCCTTACAGAAGCAAGACGGCCAAAGACCAACAGAAGGTTTGATCTGGAAAAGCTTGTTATGACGTTGCTCACCCCAAGTTGACAGCCAACTGGCACAAAGCCGCACCTTGAAGTCCATGTATGGGACAGGCATAGCTGTGATGGCACTAGAGCGGATGGACTTCGCTGCGGTGTCAGCGAGCTCTTCCCATGAATACCGACGTGGCTAGGGATCCAGAAAAACTGGATGGAAATAGAAGATAGAGAAAAGTGGGCCAATCAGTGTTGAATATGAACAAGAACAGGGTGAGAACTAACGTTAAGCGATTCCAGGGACAGTAGAAAGCTAAGAGAAGCAGTGGAAATAGTACAATTACTGTACTGCATAGCTTTTACATGATCCAGGGCAAGAGAAATAGCATACAACTCGGCAGTGAACACAGAAACTGTAGAGAACCATGGCAGAACCTACAGGGTCACCCGATTTCAAACCATCCATGTAAATAGGAAGAGAAGAATGGCTCGAAAGATGTTCAGCAAAAAGAAGACGGTACTTCCAATCGGGAGTAACCGCCTTCCTCAGATGACTCAGCGAAAGGTCACAGGAAGGGGTGGTAATATGCCATGGTGGAATGGGCTGATCATTGGGGACAGCAATGTCATCCAATGCCAGACCCAATTCAACCAGTTGTGCCTGGATATGAAAGCCAAAGGAAGGAATAGCAGACCGTCTGTTCTGAAAAAGAGCATGGCACAATGAGGAAGAAAGACACAATCCCAGGTGGGATGCCATGGTAAGGATCGAAGCTTGGTAGCATATTGTAAAGAAAGTTGCAAACTACAGAGGTGAAGAGGAGGTTCGTGGGACTCGGTGTACAAACTCTGGACTGGAGAAGTGCGAAAAACCCCGGTGCAGAGCTGAAGCCCCAGATGGTGAATGGGGTTCAGCATCTTCAAGGCCAAAGTCATGGCAGAACCATAGACCAAAGACCCATAGTCCAGTTTGGATCGAATCAGGGCACAATAGATCCTGGGCATAGAACATTGATCCACTCCCCAAGAGCTGGAAGAGAGGACACGAAGGATATTCAGAGCCCTTGCACACTTGAAATGTAGCTGCTTGATGTGCGGAATGAAGCTAAGCTTACGGTCAAAGATAAGCCCCAAGAATTTTGCTTCAGGGACCACACAAATACCTATATCACCGAGACAGAGCTCGGGATCGGGGTGGAGACCCCTTTGGCGGCAAAAATGCATGCAAACAGTTTTGGAAAAAGAAAATTTAAAACTGTTTGGAGTGGTCCATGTCAACAACCAATTGAGGGCAGTCTGAAGCTGCCACTCAATAAACCTCATGTTCGACGACTGACATGTGATGTGGAAATTGTCAA